ATATGCCTATAGGTTTTACAATGTCTTGATTATATAATAAAATTTTTTTTTTTCTTCAAAAATCAAATATTTTAATTAATAAAATTAAGCAACTATAATTTAGATTATACTACTTTTTCATTTCTTTTCATTTTTTTTTTTGGTTTGTTTTTGGGTTGGAGAGTCCTGTTAGTTAGATCTATTTATCAATGTGAAATAATTATGTCCTTTAATGACATGATGAACCATTGCATTACGAAAAAAATGACTTTGTACAACTAGACCTCATTTTTTTAGGAAAGTATTTGGTAATTGTGTTTAAAGTCTGACACTCCTTCCTTTACCTGCTCCGTTACATCCTAGGAGAAACAGTAAGAGGAGATGTAATTATCATTAATTTGGTTACCGTTTTACCTATTTTATCAGTCGAAGCTTCTGTATCAGTTGTCTTGTTATCGAGATGTTTAAAAGCATCGAGAATGCTAAGTTCGACAGTCAAGTTAGTAGTTGAATCATTGCATAACAAAGAAATGATTTTATTTTTAATTTATGTTGTCCCTGGCGGCCTCCTTTTTATAGGTGAGTATTTGGTAATTCTTCAGTCTGAGACTATTCCATTACCTTCTCTGTTACATCCGTGGTGAAATATTAGGAGGAGACATAATTATCCTTAGTCCGACTGCCTTCTTGTTACATCCCAGGTGAAATATTTGGAAGGAATATCTATCCAAACACGATTTCACAATTAAGTTAAGGGTGGCTCAACTATAAGTCAATTAACACGGTTACCTAAAGCATCCAATAGAAGAAGAGGCCAATATCTCATAATATCTTTTAATGAATTAATTATACCTCGTGTATTATATTAATTATCAAATAAATACACATACTCTTGTATTGTCAATACAAATCATCTGACTAGACTTGTCTATTCACCGATAAGTAGGTTATCTCTATTCTCCGTTATTGTTTCACAAAAAGTTATTGTCCTTATTCATAACTTTTTTAATTTTATAATTACGATTTTTTTGTATATTTATGATTGGACCACAACATTCCTACTCACTGGTGAATAGGCAGTCTTGTCCAATTTCTTCTATATATATATTTATGTATTTATGTTTTATGTGTTGTATTAATTATCAAGTAAATACAACTACCATCCTATTAGTCATTACAAGTTTCTTTAAATAAAGTCAGTTTTTTTCTCCCAAACAATTTCATACCTTCTATACTCGTAATTTTTAAATTCTCTTGCATGTCAAAACTAAAAAAATTTACTTTGTAATTTGTTGAATATCTTTCGCATAAATTTTCAACAAAAATTAAATCACTATATGTTAAGTTAAAAAACCTAAAAAAAATATTTTTATATTTTCTTGAGCATATTGCAAGTTAAGGAGGGAATTTTTTTTTTTTTTTTAATAATTTGATTCTGCTTTATGCCTCAAACTGCATCAAGCCGCCTTGTATCAAGATTATATCATAAGTTTGTTACATGCACAATGATTCAATTCTAAAGAAAAAATTATTATCATTAATTTTGAGAAGTAATAATATTCACATTCCATTTGCACTCAATTTGTTTTTTTCTTTAAAATAACATTATTGTTATTCAGAAATACATTCATACTTCACAAAAATTTTAAAAAGTATTCACACACTCCACCTTGAGAAATAATTTTTTCATTTAATTTATTAAAAAATTCAAGTATAGTACAAGAAAAATGAACTTTGAATATTATTTCCTTAATTTTTAACTAAATTATCACATCAGATTTATAAATGAAACAGTTTCCTTGCAAAATTACCATTCTTGTTAAACAAAAAGAAGAAAAAAAGAAAAAAAGAAAAAAAGAAAAAAAAGTAGAGACATGGAAGAGAAGATGTTTTGTCAACTTAATAATCTACGCGTAGAAATTAATAGTACTTTATAATACAAAGTAGCTTTAGATTTCGAAGAGTATCTTTCCTTTAGATTTTCAGAAAAACATTAAAGTGTTCTTTAGATTTTCTGCAAAACATTAAAGTATTTACTGCATTTGAGAGTTAATCATCCCACAGAATTAAATAAAGGTATTGAAATTTATAATAATAACATAAAGAACGGACTCCTATACAAACAAATATATCTAAAAAAAAAAAAAAAAACAAATTCAATGCATCCAAGCATGGACAATCACATTGTGAAATCCAATTTTAAAAATAGTAATGCAAGGAACCACGAAATAATTTTTATTTATTCCACCAGAAGATTCCCGAGAATCAATGATGTGGCATTTGTGAAGATGGCACAGATCTCCAAGACGTTTGGAGACTGTGCTTAACTTTGCTTTACCCCCCACTATTATTTTATATACAGGTGACCGAAATATCATATACAAGTGATCGAAATATCAATTATTTATAATAGATTTCAAAGATTCCAAGAAAACTACTAGAAAAATCAAAGATTCCGAAGCAATCATAAGAAAATCAAGATTCCGCAGAAATCATAAGAAAATTATGAACTCGAATCTATTTGTTCAATTTTTAAAAATATATTTCAACAAATATGAAAGAAAAAAAATGAATTTTAGAATTATATTGTTATTTCAAAATAAGTCTTTTCAACTCATTTATTTTTTTTAAAATGTCAAACAACCAAAATTTCATATTATTTCAAATAGAATATTGAACCAAAATAAGCACTTAATATTTCAAGCTACACATAGAGTCTATGTAAATTTACTCTACTACTTAAAAACGTTTTTATTTTAAAAAATTGCAACTCAATAAACCTTTTAAATGAAGCTAAAATTTGAAACTTTCAAAGTTATCTTCTGTGTAGAGGTTGCATATTTTAGGTAAATAATCTTATTCTTTTTATTTTTTATAAAGGCAGACTCATTCCTTAATAAAGTTACTATAATCAAATATGATAACATCTTATTAAACGATATTATTGTAAAATTAGAAACATTAAAAAATATATTATTATCAAATAAATTAAAAATAATTTAATTGTGAAAAGTACCTATTATAAAGTGTTATCAAAAACTAAAATATTTTTTTTTACTGAAAGCAATTTTTTGATAGCTCTACTGATAAAAGTATATATTTTTTAATTTTAACCACAATTTCAAAGGAATTCATAATTGTCCTCAAACAATTCACCGTATAATCAAATAATAAAAGTCATGTACACATAATAAGTAAAAATGAGTGATAGAATATTATTATTGCCAAAATTAATGATTAATTAACAGAATTCCAAACTAAGAGATTCAATTGCAACTTAGAATCAGCAAAGACATGGGCGAGAATCCCGCTGGCATTTCTTGAAATAAGTATTTAATTTCCTTGTTACACTTTTACCCAAAAATATTACTATTTCCTTAATACATCTTACCTTACTTTAATCTAAAGAAAAACAACTTGCAACAAATTTTATAACTTTTTTAATCTTTATCGAATCTCAAGGTGAGAATAATAATAGAAAAAAAAAAAAGAATATTATAATATATAAATGACAAAATTTGCAATTTTTTTTATATAAAAAATTAGGAATATAGTTTTTTTAGTCCGAATGGAGTAATGATATGTGAGGACAGATCGCCTCAAAGTGAAGGCATGCAATTAAAGGCGGCCGCCTAAGGCTTTCAATAAAAGAGAAGATGCCTAAAAAAAGTTGCCTCAGCTCACCTATTTATTTAATGTATTAATTATGTTTAACTTTTCTTACATATCTATACAGGTATAACATTAAATACCTTTTATATTATGTAATTTATTGACTCATCTCATCTGTACAGTTAAAACATTATCTTTTAAACTAAAACTTTAAAAATGTTTATAAAAAGTGTTCTTAATTAATTATTTATTAAAACATATTTATTTTACTGGGGTTGCTCTTGTATTGTTGAGATGGTATGCGTGGACGGATTTTAATTTTCTTACATCTCTATATTTGCACAATCCATTAAATTAAAACATTTATGACATTTTTATATTTCCTTGAAATTTCAAGTTAAACATAATATATTAAAAGGCTAATTGTATAAAACTTTCATTACTTTCAAAATTTGATCATAAACTCTCACCCTATTTTAGAAAATTTCATACAATTTAAAAATTGATCAAATTGCCGCAATATTCTCATCTGACCCGTTAATAGGCTGTGAAATAATAAATTTAACCTTACTATTTAATGCTAAATTTAAAACTAAAAATAAAAAATTTTAATTACAAAAATACCCTTTAATTATCTTATTCCTCTCCCTATCAAACTCATTCATTTTTTAAAATTATTTTTGTAATTTAAAAATAACAATTTTTAGTTTTAAATTTAACATTAAATAGTAAGGTTAAATTTGTCATTTCACGACTGGGTTAACGGATCGGATATGAATATTTGGGCAATTTGATTACTTTTTAAAGTGTAGGAGTTTTCTGAAACAACTTAAGAGTTTATGATTAAAATTTAAAAGTAATGAAAATTTTATGGAAATAGCCCTATATTAAATACGAAAAGATCTAGTAATTTCACATGAGATTAAATATTTGGTGTTCTTAATGACTTAAAAATAAACTATTTTCCTTCTAATTAAGTACTAGTATTTCTTAAATACAAACAGGGTAGTAGCTCATTTGACCCGAACAGAAGACTAGACCAGGTTAACATTTCAAATGTCCATCTGACCCGAACAAGTGTAAGACTATACCAGGTTAACAATTCAAAATGTTTGGGAAAAAATAGCTTGTAAAGGGGCAAAATGGTAAATACAAATGGAATCTTCTGTGGTCACAATCAATTGAGTAGGGACAATATGGTAAATTCATACGGAATCTTTTTGTAGATCAAAATGAATCACGGCACGAAACTTCTGGTAACTCGTGCTTAGAGAGAGAGCCATGTACCCCTATAATTCCCAATCGACAGGTAATGGCCAGTTCGAACAAATACACGGAATCCAAAATCTATCATTAAGTCTAATTAATAGGTATTTGAAATCCGCGAAACGCCTCTATTTAACGAACCCTCCACCCAATAGTCATGTGCATGTGCAGCCAGTCTTCATAACATACACAGCCAAAGTAAGAGCGAGAAAGAAGAGAGAGAGAGATGGCTGGTTGGGCTATAGCGGTGCACGGCGGCGCCGGTGTGGACCCTAACCTCCCACCGGAGCGTCAAGAGGAAGCCAAACAACTCCTCACTCGATGCCTTAATCTTGGCATCTCTGCTCTTCGCTCTTCCCTCCCCGCCATTGATGTCGTCGAACTCGTTGTATGTTCCTTTCTCTCCCTCCCTATATATACACACACATATATATATGTGTGTGTGTGTTTTTTTTTCCTCTCATACCCATTTGCCCATTTGCCTTTTCCAGAAAATTTCCTCTTATGTCCAAATTTGTTTTGCATTGATGATTCAGTTCTTGTTTGTTTCCCGAGAAACCATCGGAAAATAATGAAATTTTACCATTTTCATCTTTATCTGGGTAATCAGAAAATAATGATTTAGCAACTTCATTTGCATGGCTTGTTTTTCCTTTTGTTTGTATTCATTCAATTTTTGTCACTATATATGTGTGCACATATACATATATATACATGTTCATAAAAACACTTGGTTAAGGATTCGCAAGTATAACGTCGTGTTTTGTGGATCCACTGACTTGTTTTGTTTACTAATTTTTGTTTTGATACTGTACATAGGTAAGGGAATTGGAATCGGATCCTCTGTTTAATTCTGGCCGTGGATCTGCTCTAACTGAGAAAGGAACGGTGGAGATGGAGGCCAGCATCATGGATGGGCCCGGGAGACGATGCGGAGCCGTTTCGGGCATTTCAACAGTGAAAAACCCGATCTCACTCGCCCGACTCGTCATGGAGAAATCCCCGCATTCCTATCTGGCCTTCTCTGGAGCCGAAGATTTCGCTAAGCGACAGGTAAATTTACCTCTTTGCCACACTGTAACTGTCCATATTAGATTATGTATGACATTTTAATGATATGCCTTTTAATTTGACACGTGTAAAATTAAATAAGTATTTTTTTTTTTTTTTTTTTTTTAATATTTTAAAATCCCTTTCTTTAGGGTGTTGAAATGGTGGACAATGAGTACTTCATCACGGAGGACAACGTAGGCATGCTCAAATTGGCAAAGGAAGCAAACACCATCATGGTAACTCACATATTATATTTTATTAAAAAAATTCTATTTGTGCCAAATTTTCAACACAAACTTACCAGAAAAAAATAGGGACCAGGCACAATTGATAATCATATCACTATGATTAGTGGGGTCCACAAGTAACTCACTATTATACATTATGAGGAGTACTTTATACTCGCTTGCGCGACTGTTCATTCACAGTTACATCTCTTATTAATTAAAAAATCAATTATATAAGATATAATTAATGTTTGTTTCTATTCCTATTTTATTGGAACTTTGAAATTTCAACTTATAAGACTAAATTACCATTTTATATTATTTCCTATTTCTTTCCTATATTTGTTACATATATTTTAACTTTATATGTTCACCTTGATGCATTTTTTAATTAAAGTAATATTATAAAATTTGAGTTTTAGTTAATATGTGAAACAAGAGAAGTATGATTTTCTAATCTATTCATAATATAGGAAATTACTATATATGTGTGTGAACAAAGAAAAGGAAATAATTAAAAAAAAAAAAAGAAAAGAAAAGGAAAGGAAAGAAACAATCAATTTACATAAGATTTTTTTTTTTTTTTTTTTTTCTCTCTCTCTAATATGGATCTAGAAAATAGAGGGGAGAAGCAGTGAGAAACCGAGTATATAAATAATTAAAAACAATTTTAAAAAAAAAACAGAGAGGAAAGAAAAATGTATGCAAGTAAAGAAAGAATCAAGATTATATATGTGTACACCTACAAGTAGGATATAACAGAGAAAGAATAAATATAAAAGGGTAATTTGATCCTAAAAGTTGAAATTCCATAGTTCCAATAAAATAGAAAAAGACCATTAATTACTTCTTTAATTGATTTTTCAGTCAATAAGAGATGCAACATGGCACTCTTTATCATTATTATTCTATGTCTAGAAATAAATGTCTCTTTTGGGTTGAGTCTCAGGTCTTGGAACATAGTTTTGTTATATATTATTTTGGGATAGGGAGTAATAATTATAAATTAATTTTTTTAAAAAAAATAAAAAATCAATTCAATTTCAATTAAGTAAAAAAGTGATTTGAAAAGGGTGGAATAATTACTTTTCCAAGTACTTTGATTTGGTTAAGAATTAACGAGGTCAAATTTGAAGTTTTAAATATCATTAAAATTTGAAGCGTGACAATGGATTTTGTCATATCTCAAAGAGGCCTTTTTTTTTTTAATTGGTTTTGTGTAACATTACTATGATTATATATAAATGTGGAGCTATTTTGTAACTTTGTAGTTTGTGGGCGCAGTTTGATTATAGGATCCCACTCACCGGGATGGACAAGTGCAGTGCTGCAGTTGATAGCCCATTACACATGAACGGGCTGCCAATCAGCGTGTACGCGCCCGAGACAGTCGGGTGTGTGGTGGTGGACGGCCAGGGCCGGTGCGCGGCAGCCACTTCCACCGGTGGGCTCATGAACAAGATGATGGGTCGAATTGGTGATTCTCCATTGATCGGAGCTGGGACCTATGCGTGTGATCTCTGTGGGGTCTCATGCACTGGAGAGGGTGAGGCAATCATAAGGGGGACCTTGGCTCGGGAGGTGGCGGCTGTGATGGAATACAAGGGCTTGGGCCTTCAAGAGGCCGTGGACTTTGTGATAAACAAGAGACTAGACAAAGGGTTTGCTGGGTTGATTGCGGTGTCCAATAGTGGTGAAGTGGCTTATGGGTTCAACACAAATGGGATGTTTAGGGGCTGTGCTACTGAAGATGGGTTCATGGAAGTTGGTATTTGGGAATAGATGTGTATACCATGTAGTTGTATCTTGCTTCGGTGGTTGTACTTCTTTTTTTTTTTTGGACAATAAATGATGATGCACTTTAATTGGTGCAGTTAATTTTATCTTCTTAATTTAATCAAAAGATTTCTTCTGATTTTGTTATAATTTCTATCTAGAAATTTCTTTTGATTTTGGGTTGGTTTTGTCATACGCTTCTCCCTCTGATAGAAATAGCAAATATTTATACCCATAAAAGAGCAAGTCCAATGGTGCAGGTTTTAGAGATTTTGGGCCCAATTTAGCGATGCAAGTAGTCCAATGGAGTCTCCAATTAATGGGTCCAAAAATGTGGATTGCAGAAAGAGTCGCAAAAATGACGACCCAGTTGGCAATCGCAAGCCTGCCTTGTGCTGGCCCGCCTGATTTTTTATACTTGCTTTTAGCCCAAATCAGTGTAGCCCTTAGCCCAAAATTGGGTTAAGAGCATGTTTGGTTGGAAAAAATATTCCAGAAACCTGTTTTTTGGTGTTTTTTTTTTCCTCAACATAATTGAACAAAGTGCTTTTTAAATAGAAAAAAATAGAAAAAAATTATTGTATATGATTGTGCCATATGATTGTTCTTTAAAAGAAAGCAAAAAAGTGTCATATGGTTGTTATTTTTTACTAGTTGATTTTAATAATGGTATTTTATTAAAAAAATATTCATATAGTATTATATTGTTTAATAGTCTTTGTATGATATAACCTTATAGCAGTTAGGAAAAAGTTTATAATAATAATAATAATTTATTAAAAATATTAAAATATTTCAATTTTTTGAGAGCAAAAACTTTGGAACACTTGTGATAGCTAAAATTTAGAGAGTACAAAAAATTGGCGTGACTCTTAAAAATGTTGAAAAATGCTGAAATAACAAATTTGAAATACTCTAAACTAGTGATGTTTATGACATAAGCGTACAATTTTTTTCACTTTCACACACTTGTGCATCATTGATTGAAGAATGCGTTAAGCCTAATAGGGGATTCAATAATATTTAACTTAGTGGCTGGGAAGGCTTGAGTCTCTAAAAGAGTAAAATGGGCATGGGCATGTATGAGTGGGAAAAAAACAAAAAAAAAAAACCACCAAAAAAAAAAAAAGGATTTCTTTAATTTGGTGTCACTTTATGCACAAGCCTACAGTTTACTTTTTACTGGATCCGATATGGACTGGATTGGAGAATTTCAAGGAATTTTACTTAATCAACTTAAAACACTACACTTTTGAATAAATCAACCAAATGATTTATTAGAAACTATACACCAAATTTGTACAATTAAATAAAATCAGTTTTTTGTAAGAATTAAAATCACAACAAAATTAGAAAAAAGAAAAATAAAGAGAGAAAAAATAAATATGAAATAAATGTGTTGCGAAAGAGAAGCCAACGAAGAAGAGAAGGAAAGGGAGACAGAATACTCATTACGCCGAGGTTTGTGCAAGTTCTAGCTATATCGATCGAACAGATCCTTTTTCCCTTGGTCTCAAACGTTCATTTGGGTGTGTTGAAGAAACATGTGTAATGGTATATACTAGGAGAATTACTATTTGTAGTTGAGAACACCGAAACTTTGTAAATATAACATTGTGATTAGTTTTATTTTATTTATTTAATCTAAACATATTAGAGGGTTGATAATGATATACAATAATATATAAAATATAAATATAATAATATATTACTTAATCGGATTGGATTAATCTTAAATTTAAATTCGATTTGTTAAGTTATCAAGTTATTGTATTCAAATCATTATCAGATTATCCAATGGTTATCAAATTCGTATTAAAATTTGCTCCATTGACATGTTTACTTTTAAGAGCCTTGAAACATTAAGGCCCAAATTTGGAGGAGTTTTCATCAAAGTCCTTTGTTGCAAGGTATTTGTAAAAAAAATTTTGTTTGAAGAAATTCATAAGAAAAAGACGTTTGGTGAAAATATTTCTTAAATTTACTTTAATTTTTAGATTAATTTTTTCTTGACAGTAATATATTTTATCCTAAACAATTATTGTAAGCCTCCAACAAAAAATGTGATATCCCTAATTTCAGAGACATGAGTTGATCAAGTTCACACTAAAAAATTAAGGGAAATAAAAACAATTAATATTAACAAGCACATAATACAAATTGAATTAAAATGAATAAATAAATAAACCGCTAAAAGAAATTATAATATGTGATGGCCTTGGTTTTTCAAGCCAGTGCGTCCTGTGATGACCCGAAATTTGATCGGATAACGAATCTCGAATGTGGAAGCGAAAATAAAAATCAAGGTCTCTAGAAATACAACATGTCTCTAAGACGCCAAAGTAACTTTCCATGAGGTTATGGAATTCAACGAGAATAAAAACGAAAGTTAGGGTTGAAAATAGACCAAATATGGCCTCAAGGGAAAAATGGTCTTTTCACTTGGAAACAAAGTCTTGAGAGATGTAGGTCATCCTTAAGACACAAGCATGACTTCCTATGAAGCCACGGGATTCAAAAGAAAACAAAGCGGAAGTGACGTTTTAAAAACGGACAAGTTTAGTCCTAGGGGCAAAACGGTCATTTCTAAAAAGATGTGGTTGCTACCGAGCACACCGTTAGATAGACAACGAAAAATTAATAAAGTTAAACTCAAGAATCTCTTGATTTGGAATCCGGATGAAGAAATGAGGTCAAAACGAAGATCGGAGTCGACGAGGCCAAGAGGGCAACAAGGGAGCCCTACATGCGTGCCGCGCGCTCGTTGTGCACTCGGCCAAGGCATTGGTTGACAACAAATGATTTTTGCTAAAATTCCAGAACAGTGAGCTATTTCGGACCCTTTAATGACATTTTTTGAAAAAACATAAAGAAGAAATACCCTTAAAATCATGTTTTCTAACCAACCATGTCAAAAGAAAAAATTATTTTTGATGTGAAATCCCCAAAATACTCTTATGCTCAGTTTTGACAAAAAACCTAAAAAATGAAATTTGCTTCAAGTGTTCAATTGGTCGAATATGAAGTTGTGTGTTAAAACAATTGTGCATGCAAACGTAATAAGTGATTTTAAGTGCGTAGGAATAGTTTACGGCCCCTAAATATGCCCGATGCAAAATACAACCTATCAAATCTAAAATTTGCCTAAAATGACTTTTAAAAGTAAAACTTGAAATCAAAATACATAGATGAAAACGAAAAGGCGTTTGGCTCTTGGCCACACCTCAAACATATTAAAAGAGTCCTAATGAGTATGCTAAGGCACACTTTACATGCTCTAAATTGAAAATGACAACTTAGGACTTCCAATTTCTTCATTTTTCAATAATTATACATGAAACCAAAAATACTTTAAAAAAGTAACTTAAAAGTAAATGGCCCTTGGCCTCATTACATACATGTCAAATAAATTTCAAAGAGTATATCTAAGTACACTTTATATAACATAAGGCAAAAGCGACATATTGAACCTAATTAAGTATTACAACTTTATAAGTAAAACTTTAATATGCTAACACTTGCATGTGAGTAAAAATATATCAAGAGTACTTTAAATTAATAAGACAACCTAGGGATATTGTTCATCTGGAAACCACGTCTTCTTACTTGAGACAAACCGCATTCAGTGGGGTGAGTAACTTACATTACTCGTAGGGAATGAACATGCGTAGACCTAAAATTTTTACAAGTTGATAAGAATCAATCCATGTGGTTCATTCCATTTAACGTCTATGTCCAAAGTAAAAATAAAGGAGCATCCTAAGCTACCTTAAAACATTTCTAGCATAAATCACAATATTTATGCAATTAAACAGTATAGGAGCATACGATATAACACAAAAAGATCTAGATTTTTAAAGTTATCAACTTGAAATCGAAAATGCGAAAACAACTAAATGATACAATTTAACATAATTGGAACCTCCAATTCAACGCGACAAGATATAGATTATCAAACTTATCAACTTGAAATCTAAAATGCGAAAACAACTAAAGTGGTTCATGCCACCTAGCGTCTGTGTTCCAATGTGAACTAAGAGATCATCTCAACTTCCCTAAGTAATTAAAATGAAGTACAAAATACACAAGTCTCTAAAACAATTTTAGAACTTTAAATACTAAAATCACAAGTCATTATTAAGCATTGGTTGTCAACTCATAATTAAATGCGAAATCAAATAGCGGAATATCTTGGACATTGAATCCCGGAATAGAACCAAGACGTAAAATAAATCAAGCTACTAACCTCTGGGAACAACCCAAGTGCGCACTATATTTGTAGAGGGAACTTTTATCCCCCGTACTAGGACCTTGCCCTAGCCATGTCAAATTGTGTGATGTCCCAAGTGTTTCCAAAATAAGTCCAAAACTTATGCAAAATTAAGTAATGTATAGAAACCATCTTCCATGCACAAGTAGAAATGAAACCACACAAGTCATGTCCTAGGGTTTCAAGTCTAAAATGATATTTAAAATGTCGAATCTTCAATGTACGATTCGTTATACATACAAAACATAAAATGTTGAATCTTCAATGCGCGATTCGTTACACGTTATAATGACATTATTATTCAATATTGAAAACATAATCTCATGAATATAATACAAGTCCGAATTTATGATTTAAGCATGCAAACAACTTCAAATACATGGATAAATCATTAATACAATAAAAATGGTAATTAATTAAATAAAATAATTAATTTCTCTAGATTGCAAATCTCATCCAAATAATCCCTAATTAATATACGTCAAAGATCATAGCACGGTCATTACATATATCAACTCAAATATTTAATTAAATGAATGAACACTTAAATAAAAATTAATTAAACTAATTAATTAATTTCTCTAGATTTCAAATCAACTTCAAATGGCTTCAAATATTTATATGTCAAAGATCATATCATGGTTAACACATATATGAACTCAAAAACCTATTTACATCATTGGAACAATTAAATAGAATTAAATTAAATTAAAATAGTTAAATCTCTAGATCTTAAAACAACTCCTAATGATTCCAAATTAATATATGCTAAGGAACAAGTCAATGACATTACATACATCAACTTAAAAACATAATTAAATCAATGGAACCATTAAA